TCTGATGGACACCAAGGATGTCGTCAAGGTTGTTGAAGAATGGATAAGTCAGTTTGTCGAGTTGTCTGAGAAATATCGCTGGGTTCAGGTAAGTTTGGAGTCATCGACAATGGGCCATAATTTGCACCCTCCCCCTCTGGGTATCCAATGGGGGAGGAGGGGTTTTTCACATTAAATTTTCCTGGAGGGTAGCCTATGGGATTAAGATTTGATGTTTTAGTGATATCAAAGGGGGACGAACAATGGGAGGGTGGGGTGGGGTGGGCCTAACGGAAAGACCCAATAGCAACAAATAGGTTTTGTCTTGCTATCATAGACCAGTGTTTGGCAGGGCAGGTGCAGTAAAGGCATGTGCTTGTCTCTGGGACAAAGACTCTAAATAGATTGGGCCATTCTCGTACCCAGAGCCCTTCTTATGCGCGGTGCGACGAGGGGCTCTGGCCAAATCCATATTCCAAACTGGCATGTGATTGGCTAGTTCTAACACCGGATATTGTTTTCTTACCATGTTTTTATGGTATCCGGTTATGGATTTGGCCAGAGCCCCTCGTCGCACCGCACGTAAGAAGGGCTCTGGGAACGAGAATGAGATTGGGCAATATGTTAAGTCCATGCCTGTAGAAAGTAGTTCTCGCCCTGAAGTTAATGGAGCGACGCTACCTCCAAAGTCTAAAGGTCTAACTCCAAACCAAAAGATACACTTGAGTAACTTGTGTGATTCAAAACTGAGTTGAAATATGAATTGTGGAGTTACTGGCTAACTCCAAAAATCATTTGGAGCTCAGTATAAACCCAGAAAGCATGAAAAAATTGGTATCTAAGCCTTGAGTTACGGCCAACTGCCTAACTTCAAAGAGTGTGTGTAGCGAGGTGAGCCAGCCTAGCCGCTAGGTCTAGCTCCATTTGAAGATTGGCTACCTCCACAAAAATAGAATCTACAGGTATGGTTAAGTCCGTGATGATGAGGCCCAACTAACTTCCAAACTGGTTACTAGTTTCTCATCATGCTACTACTCAGTAGACAAATGGCTTTCGCTTGAAACATCGAAGTTCTGCTTATATTTTTCAGATCTTTGTATCTCTCTCATTTTACAACCTGTCTTGTCCTCATTGCTACCTGTATAACAACTTTGTCACCAACACCAGCCCTCGAAAACGAGGTTGGCATTCCGCAATACCGACCTAAATGCCAATCTATCAACCTCCCAGGTCAGAAAATTTTTGCCGACCTTAATTCAGCCAAAGTAAAAATTTGTTGGTGCTGATAGCTGTTAAAAAGTCAGCAATTATAGAATTTGATTCCTAGTTCGATTAACTAAACACACTTTGGTGTAAGTTTAAAAATTGGTGTAGGTTTTCAAGGGCTGCAACACCATTTAATAGTAACTATCATTATTTTAGATATTTGAAAATCGTGGTGAAATAATGGGCTGTTCCAATCCTCACCCTCACTGTCAAATCTGGGCAAGCTCGTTTCTTCCTAACGAACCCTCTGCTGAAGACAAAGCTCAAAAGGCATATCTTTCAAAACATGGAACACCACTACTTGTGAAATACATTAGCCTCGAACTGACCAAAAATGAACGAATTGTTGTGGAGAACAAACATTGGTTAGCTGTGGTACCATATTGGGCAGTGTGGCCTAACGAAACCTTGCTACTTCCAAAAAGGCATGTCTTACGGCTGCCTGATTTAACGAAAGAGGAACAAGAATCCTTGGCAGTTATAATGAAACAACTTGTAACAAAATATGATAATTTATTCCAATGTGCATTTCCGTACTCAATGGGCTGGCATGGAGCGCCAACCGGTTCAGAGGACACAGACTGTCACCATTGGCAACTTCACGCCCATTATTATCCACCATTATTACGGTCGGCTACCATAAAAAAGTTCATGGTTGGTTACGAGATGTTGGCCTCACCACAAAGGGATCTGACTGCCGAACAAGCCGCAAGCAAGTTGAGAGAACTTCCTGATGTGCATTATAAACTAACGAAAAATTAACAACAATGAATTGCAAGTGTAGATAAGTTCAAGCTGCTACACTAAAAGCTGCCACAACATTTATGGAAAACAATAGAACTTTCCCCTTTTAAGTGAAATTTTGATCTAGACAAGTTTGGACAAAAATTTCATCACAGCTTGAAAGAGCATCACAAAATTAGTAATATTCCGAAGTTTCGTTGCGAATTGTTGTAAAATGCGGATAATATAGCCTTGCGAAGTTTGCCGTTTTTCAGTCATTTGGTATTACAAACGGGAAATTGATAATCAGTTTGATCATCTGATTATCAATTTTCCATTTGTAATGCAAAATGACTGAAAAACGGCAAACTTCGCAAGGCTATATCATCCGCATTTTACACCATTTCGCAACGAAACGTCGGAATATTACTAATTTTGTGATGCTCTTTCAAGCTGTGATGAAATTTTTGTCCAGACTTGTCTAGATCAAAATTTCACTTAAAAGGGGAAAGGTCTATTGATGATGATATAGTTTTGTGAAGCAGAGCAGTCAAGCATCACCATAAATCGGGACATTTAAATATTTTTGCAAAATTTCACGCTGAAAATTAATTCATATACACTGGGAAAATAATTAAAGATAATATTTGTATTATTTGATAGGACACATTTCAATAATTCATACACGAATTGCCATCAGTCAAGTCTATCAAATATGTAGGGTTGCGGTTAGGATAATTCATTAAGAAAATAAAACAAAAATGAATGTTTAATGAATAATGTCATGAGGTGTTGTATCAACATTTGTGAAACTGGAAAGAAATCATGAGCGTGAAGGAGTTTGTATATCTGATACAAAATCATGCTGATTTACATAAACTTCAAGTTCAATTTTCTCACCAAATATCATTCATTTCTGTTAAATTGTTGAAGAATACGTATATCCGATACAACACGGTCAAGATGAAATGTTCTCGAGTGATTGCTTCCAAACCGCGCAAGCAGAAAATTCTACCTGCCACGGCTGGGTCTCGAACTCCCCGAAGCAATATTCCACCGCCCACGGACAGACGTTTAATATTCTCACCTTTTGGAAGCCATCCCTGTGCACCTGTTTGGACATTTCTATTTTTCACATGACCATGACAAAGACAATTATTTTTAAAAACAATTTTTCATTATTTATTCGCCTCTCCTAAAGCGATCATTGTTGATCCAACTACTTAAGAAAAGGTAAAAAAAAAACACTTCGACTTTTCTGATTAAGGCTCTTTATCGAGAAGTGAATCAAGATTGAAATTGTTAGCATGTTTAGAGAATATTTGTTTGTGATTTTGTCTCTTAAGTGCATGTGTCCACATCGGGCAAGCTACGAAATATCGCCCACCCGAACCCCCATATAACACCAGAACAAAAAATTCAAAATGTTTAGAGAAAATCACACATCCTTTCAATTTTATTCCCCTTGCCCGGTGAATGCTTCAAAGGCTTAATTAAAAGAGGCTTTGAGGTTGACTGTGCGTGTTGGTTCAAGAACTGTCGCAGACGCAGAGTGTTTAGTTCCACCAGGGCGCTATAAAACACGGGCGGTGAAACGGAGATAGCGCCCCTGATCTTTGTGTGATGCGCGTACCCCCCGTATACATTAATTTATAATGTCAATAAAAATGGAATTGGAATGTTTATGCAAAAAAGAGCTGAAAAAACTAAAGTAAAAAATGTTTTCTGCATTCCTAAACAACTTGATGGTTTGAAGACATTGTTGGATTCATTTTCTGTATATCTGATGAAGGAAAAAGGGCTTTAAAGATTCATCATGAGCGAAATAAAAATTTGAAAAGGATCGAGCTGATCGAATGTGGGCATATTCCAAATACGAAAATTTTGGTATGAAATGGGATATTTTACTTCATAATACGAAGGTAGGATAAACATTTTCACAGTAAGAATATTCTGACATTGCTTGGCTACTATTTTTCGATAATCATATAGCCCAAAATTGACCATGCATGCATTTAAAACAACTACAATTTGAAAAAAAACAACTACTGAACAATTTGCTCGACAATTTGAAAACTTAAATATATAACCGTTTTTGTGTTAACCAGCCGGCCTGCTCAGAATCCATTGAAAGTTCATTGTAAAATGTTTTTAACTAATTGATTTGATTTCTATATTATTGGTATAACTGCCGCCGACACTCCAAAAATATTCAGCGTGAATCTTTTTTCGTGCGACTGCAGTCGTTGACATTGCAGTGACAGTGTTACGGAAAACTATAAAGGCTGCAAAATATCTCCAATTTATGAAAAAAGCACAAAAAAGCACCGTTCAATTTTACTTGAGACATAAAGCCAAATTAAATGTCTATAGTTTGGTGTGTTCAAATTTATCTCAACCTATCTCAACGAGGAGAAAACACTATTTTAAATACGTCCGCGCTTTGACAAAAAAGAAAAAATGTCGTCAAAATCGAGTTCAAAATGCATGTCTTTTCCTCAACAATCGCTTTGTTCATTTTGCAAGTGAAATAGATACCAATTTTAACTATATAAGCTGATACTAGATCCTTCACTAAACGTTTATAGTATGTATTTGAGGCAGGAAGTGATTTCGTTCAAATGATAATTGAAAATTTGTGTTGTTTAAATATCGTCTTATCTGCATAAATAAGTATAGCACTCGCGAATCTATATTGTCGTGTGTAGTATACGGAAAACTATAAAGGCTGCAAGATATCTCCGTTTTATGAAAAAAGCACAAAAAAGCACCGTTGAATTTTACTTGAGACATAAAGCCAAGTTAAATGTCTATAGTTTCGTGTGTTCAAATTTATCTCAACCTATCTCAACGAGGAGAAAACACTATTTTAAACACGTCCGCGCTTTGACAAGAACGAAAAAATGTCATCAAAATCGAGTTCGAAATTGATGTCTTTTCCTCAACAATCGCTTTGTTCATTTTGCAAGTGAAATACGTACCAATTTTAGCAATATAAGCTGATACTAGATACTTCAATAAACATTTATAGTATGTATTTGAGGCAGGAAGTGATTTCGTTTAATTAATAATTCAAAATTTGTGTTGTTTAAATATCGTCTTATCTGCATAAAAGTAGTCGCGGAATTGTCGTGTGGAGTATACGGAAAACTATAAAGGCTGCAAGATATCTCCGTTTTATGAAAAAAGCCCAAAAAAGCCCCGTTCAATTTTACTTGAGACATAAAGCCAAGTTAAATGTCTATAGTTTGGTGTGTTCAAATTTATCTCAACCTATCTCAACGAGGAGAAAACACTATTTTAAACACGTCCGCGCTTTAAATTTTGCAAATATTTTCATCGCTCGAGTAAAATTTTTGCCCTGAAATTTTCTTTCAACGAGTGTTCAGCAACAAACAACACAAGCTATTACATGTGATATAACTTATTAAATAATATTTCAAATTTTAATTAACGAAACATAATTACTTAGCAGTTAAATCCTTTGTTTTCTCGTTTGCTTGTTTACATTTTTTTGTTGCCATTTTGTACGCGATTTTCTGATTTTTTTAGAGAAAGCGCGCTCGCGCCAATCCTAATGTGCATCACACATAGCCACTGAGCTGTATAATAACTGGAGGACCTGCTCCTATGCTCCTATACTTCGTTCAGTCAACCAAGTGAAGCCAAAAACATGGCGGATTTTGAGTGAAAATGACGCCATTTCCATGACTACTGGTCCCTAAATTCATGGTAATTGCCACTGAACAAGGCTCAATTGTGAGCCCGCCACAGTTTTCACCCCCCCCCTGGTTTCTGAAAAAAATATTTCGGATTTTTGCAGTGAATTCTTGTTGTTTTGTTATTTTCGACATATTTTTTCGACGTTTGACCGTTTGTTCAAGGATGTGAAAGTCGTACACGTTATTCTCGTCCGTAAAAGACAACAAACAACTATTAAAACCTCCCAAAATGTGGACAAAAACGATATTTCAAGCCGGGCTATAAACAGCAGTCTATAAACATGCAGTCAACTATAAACAGGTAAACATTTTAAAATTCACATTTTTATTTTAGTATTTCATGAAAAAATGTTAGGAATAAATGGTAAAATGTACTCTATTTTTTAGAAAATAAGCCACAAGTGTTTATAATGTGATTGTAGATAATAAACCTTTTTGTATTTACTGTATTAACTTTATGCAATGTTTCATTCCTCGCAATATCGAGTTGCACAACAGTACATGTATGATGAAACTATGATGTTCTGGTGTATTAAAGAGGAAATTAAGGTTTTATATATTTAGCCAAGGGTTTTGTTATGCATGAGCTTGTGGTGAACTGGTGCAGGAAAAAGCTCAGCTGCCTAGTAGGGCCAGCTGAAGTGAGAAGGCATGTTTTATATCCAGAATTGTACATTGTAGTTTTAATATGTGCTCCCTGATTGTATTGTATTGTATCATTTGTATGATAGTTTGTTGTATGTGTCTTTAAAAGGCCATTAGCTTGTTTGCCCCATCCTTCAAATATTAAGTTAATTGTGAGTCGCTAGTTTTGCCATATTGCAGTAAGCGAGACTTCACTGTGTGGTTATTTTAATATTTTTATAGTGGAAATTCCTTTCAATTTGCATGGATAACCTGGCTCAGTTTGAGATCTCACTTGAACAAGACAAGATCTCTAAATGTTAGACAAGATAGTTACTAACCTGACTGACTTGGTCAAAATGAAGTCAAAACAACAAAAATTGGTCATGAAAATAGTGTCAAAACAATAGAGATGCAGAATTTTCCAACAATGCATGAGTCCATGCCACTGTTGTTTAACTGTTAATGAAACTCAGTACCAAGCTGCAACATGTTTGTAAATTAAAGATTCAAAATCATGATTAATTTTGTATTATTTTAATTAAACTTGGTCAAAGAATAATTGTCAAATTAATAATTGTAACTGTACAATCAAGTTACAATATGTGATAGAGTAGTATTATAACTGTAGCTCCATGGGTGATTCTTTGGCTGTCCCCTGTTTTGATGCCTTGGGCCACTTCTTGTAGTACATATAACAGGGTTTTTTTTCAGGATTTTCTCTTGGATCCGTTTTTGCAGAGAAGATTGAGTTTAGCTGAACAGCTGTGGTGGTTGCACCCCCCTCCCCCCCCTACCGGGGGGGGGGGCTGACACTTGTACTCAACAAATGTAGTTGAGACGGAATGTGTTAAAGCAGGGGCATTGAGGGACACTATAAACTGGTTAAAGATGTATAGTTTTTCTTGTGTTGTGAGATGAATTCCAGCCATTTTTTCTTAATTGTCGGGTTTCCAACTGAAAACTAATTTCCACACGTCACAAATTTAACTCAAACAACTTCATTTTTACTGCACTGAAACTTTGGTGAGAAGATTGAGTTTCAAAACTCAATTCAAAACTCAATTCAGGTCTGGCAAGTGCCACCACTACTATAACACCACTATTCTTGTTATTTGAACATTCCAAAGAACTTGTCCACATGACCTACATCCTGGATCACCCTAAATGAGAAATGTCAATTATATTTATAAAATAGTGACAGCTAGTATCATTAGAACACACTTTGAAGAAATAGTGAGTCACATATACCAGGCTCCAAAGTCCAATTACAGGGAAATTTACTGTAGAGTAGACATTATTTATATGTTAACCC